CGCGAGTGCTGGAGCTAGTGCTGGAGCTGGCAAACCCCGAGTTTGGAGGAGTTCGCTCAAACTTTGGGACCGGGCTAGGCCCGTGTATGGGGTAGCGATGGGCAGCGGCAAGTTGCGCAAAGAGTAGTTTGCGAGGAGGAACAACCAGGACGCTTGCAGGTCGTCCAAAGTCGGCAGGAGGTAAATGACTTGCTGGAGCTAGTGATGGATTTGCTCGGGGGTGCCGAAAGGGATGCGGTGGACAGCTGGTGCTTGGTTATGCCGAGAACAGCGTTGACCCGTTGGGAGGGGACTAACAGAATAAACATCATCGAGGAAAGCATACAAGGTTGCGTTCGGGTTCAACCTGCTGCTGGATCGCGGCTAAGGACGTGTGTTGCCCTAGGCAACAGTGGGTCACCCTGCTCCCCCCCTTTCGGTTTGGTGGATGGTTTGGGGTGTGCCTGCTTGGTCGTGCCAGACATAGCACGATGGGTTGGCATCAAAAAGCCGGCATTGGTTGGCTTCTGGAACTTGCAAGAGCCCTGTCAACATGCTGGTGCGGGAAATATGATCGTAGGCCCCGATGCCATCAACCGCGGCGATGGTTTGGTCTGCCGTGCTGGCAACCTTTATCGACAGCCTCCTTGCCCGTTTAGGTGGACAAGGCAAACTGCCACGGGCGAGATGCACTTTGGAGCTGGCTGGCGAACTGTTGGGCTAAGCTGCGGGAGATTGTGCCCCCGTTTAGTGTTTGGAGGGCGACGATGCGGCCGAGACCGAGGAGGCGCGCCGCTGCTTGTGGCACCGAGCCTTGGGCAAGGAGTTGGCTGACTTGGACGAATTGGTTTGTGACGGCTTCGTCATCCAGGATGAGGCGGAGGGCTTCGGAAGTGAGGCCGGAAGGCCCTGGTGCCACTCCCTTGCGGGCCCGGCAAAGGTTGCCCGTGAGGATGGCCCTGGGGATCCGGACTGGATGTTTCACAAACCCACAATAACACACACATACACAGACACACGCACGCACACACAGACGCACACGCGTGCGCGCACACATTTAGCTCACATTTTTTCATGACACACCACATGTTTCACGGAGCGAACCAGGATCACCGAAATCCTATCCGAAAGTGCCGTTACAACCGCACAAACATCCTGACCAGTGTGAAGCCGCCGTGGCTGGAGCGATCCCGTGAAGGAGAGCAACGGTTTCTGGAGTAGCATCCCCCGAAGTGCTGTATGAAATGAGATGATTTGACATGATATGATATGGTATAGAATGTTATGATATGACGTGATATGATATGATATGATATGATATGATGTGATATGATGTGACGTGATGTGATGTGATATGGTGTGATGTGGTATGACCGAAGGACGTTTCGAAGTCAAACTGCCAACAATATGGATCGATGAAAAGAAGAGATGGGAAGGGCCAGAGAAGAGAAGAGAAGAGAAGAGAAGCGAAGCGAAGCGACGCGACGCGAAGCGACGCCACGCGACGCGAGGCGAGGCGAGGCGAGGCGAGGCGAAGCGAAGCGAAGCGAAGCGAAGCGAAGCGAAGAGAAGCGAAGAGAAGAGAAGAGAAGAGAAGAGAAGAAGAAAGAGAGTCAAAAAAAAAAGTCTCAGAAGAAAAAAAATCCAGGCGCGGGAAAAGGTAGGAAAGTCGCCAAACATTTCGTTTTTCCAAGGATTTGTGGCTCCGGAGGGTCGAAAAGTAGGCTCGCTAAAGCGGCGGGTGCGGAACCATGTGGTCAAATGAGAGATGAAAGGTTGCACACCGTTGTGGTGCGATAAGGTTTTGGTTGTTGTGCGCATAATGAAAATGAGCAAAGCGGCACCGATGGTTTGGGTTGGGGTAACGATCATTTTTAACGTTCTTGATAAAAACGTGTTGCATCGTGGAATTTCTGTTAAAGGTCTTGGCTTGGGTTGAGGTGGGGAAGGACGTCTTCCGTCGTGTAGTTTAGATTGGCCGTTGGGTTTGCTTTGTGTCCAGCAGAAAATAACCGCAGTGAGTTTTGACGTGCATATTACGTTGAGGGTTTTCAAAGGGGGTACTGACCCCAAACCCCTTTTTTTATTTACCCACATGAGTTGTTCAGGCTTAACACTGACCACCAGCAAGTTTTGCACAGACACAACGAGCGTTCATGGTCATCATTTTAAAATTATGACCACGTGGTCATCATACTTTCATCATTGATGACCATGGGTTTATCCCCTTGGGCAAGGAACGACCATGGTCATCATTCAAAACACCTGCTGGTGGGCAACAATACTTTGGGAAAATGACCACCAAATGATGACCACCGAAAATGACAACCACGAATGATGACCACCACGATCCAAAAAAAAAATAGAAAAAAAAAATACAACCAAAACAGGCATCAAATGTCGAAGCGGCAGCAACGAAGCATTCCCAAGAAAAAAATGACGCCCCTTCTATCAATCAACATGGAAGCTGGTGATGCCCAAACCTGCTTACAAGTGCAGTAAAAAAAAAAAATGGGATGTTAAGGGTGCCTATGACACCTAAAAATTAAGGAAACCCCAAGAACACCTAAGAGGCAGAGATCAATTTTTTTTGTTGTTCGTTCTTGCGTTTTAGCGGCGCCGGGGCAAGGGAATATGTCCCGGATGCACTGAACAGAAATTGGTGAGCATAAATTTTGCCTTTAAAAATAAAACAAGGTTTGAAACTGAGCATTAGGCCTCTTACGTTTTTTCCAAATTATTACCACTCCTCACGGACTTCTATAAGGTGAGTGTCAGTATTAACGTTCTTGATGGGACGTCTTACGTCGTGGAGGCTAGGTTGAAGGTTGTGGCTTGGGTTGGGGTTGGGATTAGTATTAACGTTCTTGATAGGACGTCTTATGTGGTAGAGATTACGTTAGGTTATTGATGTTTTAATGGTTTTGTCGCCCAACTTGTTCTCCTTGCCGTCGTTGTTGTTGAGCATTCTGCTTTGGAGGTGGACCGGGGGGAATCGAATCCAACGGGGGGGCCTTTACTGGAGAAGCAATACATAACGGGCCCAAACTCCTGCACTTGCACCGCTCCCACCCCAATACTTGAGGTTGTTTACCGTCAGCTTTCGAGATTGTAGTTGCCTGGTCGCTTCAGGGGCAGATAGCGTTCTTCACTTGCCAGGAGTCGCTCACAGGTTTGAAGGTGGGAAACAAGCGGCAAACCTTTATTCCTGATGTTCCAGTCTGATCTTTTTGTTTTACTGGTATGTTTGCACGCTCCGGTTCATGCAACCTACGTTTCACTGTCGAAATATGCAATGTATTGAAGTTGAAAATCGCGCAGGATAAATGCCAAATGCATTTATAAAACGTCAGCCTGGACGTTAAAAACCCCTTGTTTCAGGAGATGATTTCAGTGGCTGAAATCTAGAGGCCCTCACCTGGCAGAGGGGAAAAACGCGTAAAGGCACAGTGGTATTTCCGGCGCTGTCAGTTTCTGGATCTTAACCCCGTGCGGTTGGCATTGAAACCAGAAATCGGTTCAGACGGTCTGCCACAGCCTACGCCTCTGCCCGTGAATTTGCCACAACGCCTCACACGGATCAGTTTTCAACGCACTGGATGCCAGGAAGGCGGACTGGTTAAGTGAAGGGTGGGAGCGGTCTTCAAGTGCTTCCGTTCGCATCCTAGTTCTGTCACCGCCAAATGAACCACCAACGTTTTCGCACGCGTCCTGCATGAAAGGGTCCGCTGGGGATCGATTGACTGGTTCGATCGGCTCTTCGCTAGTCTACCCTTTTTCAACCACCCACGTAAAATGTTTGCGGAACGCACTCACAAACTTGCTTGCAGGTGAACAAAATCTTCTCCTTTTTTGTGTTTTTGCTATGTATATGGTTTGATTGTTGATCTTCACTGGACTGAGTGTGCCCACCTTGGGATATTTGGTATTCGCTTCTACACGTTCTGTGTGCAAGGTTCTCTGTGCCCAGTGCGCCTGTACGGGCAGGTTTCTAGAATGGTCGCAGGTGGCTGTCGCGCTGCCCCTGCTGCAAAACCTTTCCTTTCGACGTGTACTGTATCGAGTCTTGAATTTGGTTGATGCATTTTGAAGATGCTCATGGTGAATGCTTTGGTAGATTTCCCATGATTTCTCGACGTTTTGGGGTTTGCAGGCGTTCGGCAGGGCTGCTGTTATACAGCAGTAAGCAGCCTCAACCAAAGCAGCAGCAACAAAGCGACCAACAACACCAACAGCGCCAACAAGACCAAACACCAAGGCCAACTAGACCAACAACACCACCCAGGCCACCATGGCTACAACGACCCCCACCCAAAAAAAACAAGAAGTAGAAGAAGTAGAAGAAATAGAAGAAGTAGAAGAAGCAGAAGAAGTAGAAGTAGAAGAAGTAGAAGAAGTAGAAGAAGAAGTAGAAGAAAGAAAAAGAAGAAGAAGAAGAAGAAGAAGAACAGCAACAACAACAAACAAGACCAACAGAATTCCGCAGGGAAAGCATCGGAAAACTTACGAAATCCATGCCTTTTTGGCACCAGCGATTAAGGGAGTAGTATTGACATCGTTTGAATTCTGCAAGCAGCTGTCACAGGACAGTGGCTTGCTTTTCATCCAAGCAGAATTGAACATGATATTGTTTCGCGAGCAACCTTTTTGTGGCAAATTGGTGCAAGCAGCGGCTTTACTTGAGGGCTTGCATGGGCTTGCTACGGGTATGGCATGTGGTGGTGGCTGGCTTGGTGGCTTGGTGGTGATTTGTTGTGATCCCCAAGGTTTTCGAATTGCGACTTGTTGCGTCAGTCTCAGAGGGCGCCAAGAAGTCGGACAGGGCACAAGTCGTCAGACAAATACGATTTTTGAAATACGGAGAATGCCAAAGCATTTTGTGGGGCTAAGCTTTTCGAATAAAAACGCTACAACCAACTCAACAAACAGTCAAATATATTCAAACTACGTTCTAGATTAATCTAGATTCTAGAGCCTTGAAGTTTTCCCCATGTTGCATGATGGTGGAGTGCGCACCATTTGTTTGCAACTTCCACAACAGTGACAGCACACGCAGTGGGAGTCTTTTTGCGTCTCTCCATCGTGCCCGTGCGAACCAAGACTTCGCCCAATGGCTTCACTCTATGTCTTCGATGCCCTTCAGCAGCTCGTCCTGCAAAAACAAGCGACTGTGCCACAACTTCTGTGTCACCGCCTACCAAGTTGCACCGCTTCGAAAGGGTTCTAGATGGTTTTACTGCAAATCTTATCCTAGCACTAAATCTTAGTCAGTGCCTAGCGCGTCCTCGTCTTCATTTGCATTCGAGTCAAGCAGTGCTTGTGCATCCAGGGCAAGGACACCGTGGACCTGTGCAGAGAAGCTAAACAACAAGCTCCTGCAACCTGACAAAAGGTCCATCAATGTCCATCATGATGAGGCGCTGAAGGCCGCTCCAAATTCAGGACATATCCTGAAATATCTTGGAATCTCCCACCATTTTCCACTAGGTATCCATGTGTCAACCAAGCAGCGGGAGTGGCATCAGGAAGAACAGGAGCCGACACAGGAGAAGCGCTATCCTTGAGTAGTCGGGTGCTGGCTACAGCCTGTAACCTCTGTAATCATTAAAAATACCAAAAAAAAAATACAAACCCAAATTCAAAAAAAAACCAACACTGAGGGGGGCAAAATCATCAACAAAAGGAAAATACAACATACATTGGTGGATTTGCGGTTTTGTTCTTTGACGGCATGTCTAAAGAACGAAAAATACAAAAGGACAAAGTGCAATCTGTGAAGGAATGCGAAAATAAAAAAAAAATACAAGAATACAAAGTGCATTTTTGGAAGTAATGGAAAAAATACAAAAAAAATGTAATTTTGTATTTTTTTGTAAAAATACTAAAAATACGAATGCAATTTCTCAAAAATACCAAATAACAAAAATTTCAAAAATGCAAAATACAAAAAAAATACGAACCCAAAATGTCAAAAATACAAAATACAAAGAAAATACAAATTCAAAAATGAGCCAGAGAGCCAACCCCATGTTCACTTTGGAAATCAGGAAACAAATTGCAAAAAAATACAAAACCAACCAGTTGTATTTTCCAAACCCTGCAGTTCTGATTTTGTATTTTTGAATTGTATTGTTTTCTTTTTCTTAATATGGACAGAAGACCCTTCTGTAGCCAACGCGGACTACTCAACGCTATCCTCAAGGGTCATCGACGTTGCAATGGCTGAAGCTAAGAAAATCAATCACATACACAAAAACTGGGATTCCGTCCAAACAGAATCAACTTCTCAAGACTTCTTGTTCTGACAGACTCTGTTGTTTCTTGCTGGTCCATTGATACCCCCGTCGGGGAAGTGCCTCCACCTGTTCCAGAGCCAACTCCTGGCGTTCTCAGGATGCAAGTGACGACTTGGGCTAAAAATATCATTGAACCAGCTCCTAATACCATCTGGTTATTTAACATAGCCATGGAAAATCCCTTATAAATGGAGGTTTTAATGGGAAAATCAACTATAAATGGGCCATTTTCCATGGCTATGTTAAATAACCAGAGGGTAACTCAATTATACTTCCTGCGTGTTTTTCTCGCCACCAAGGAGAACAATACATCAACGTGTGCCATTTTGCCGAAAATCCTCTTCACGGCATAGCAGTCAACCTATCTTGTCCCACCAGGCGCTTGCTGGCTTACCTCAAGTGTCTGGCTGTTTGCCCCTGGTTTGCAGTTTAGAGCGTTAAGGGATTTACGCACCACCACTGGTTACCACTGGTGCAATGTGACTGGACACATCTTACCCCACAACATCCGGACACCCGCTCCGTGATGGGCTGCGCTGCCCTATCATCTTCATCAAAGCGACGCATTAGCTCCTTCCATGCACAACTGCAGAAATATGAGAAAATCATGGGCATGTGCAACATCAGAATTAAACCAATCTAATATGTGTATATATATATAGTTATATAATATTATAATAATGATAATAATAATAATAGAATCTAATATAAATATCTCTGAACATTGCAGCAATCCACAAGCCAATACAACAGCCCAGACTAGGAAGCAAGTGCCGGAAAATGTCCACGTATTTTCCACAATGCTTGCTTCCTGGAGGCTTTATCGTGATAAATCCCCTCTATAGAGAAAATCTGATATATTCAAAAGTAGACGGTAGACACATATCATACACGTATCCCCCTTGTTTGTTCTTACCCATGTCGGCACGATCTAATACAGGGGTTCTTCAAAGAAAATATCCAACAATAGCTTTTGACGACCCAAGTTAATTCGACATTTCTGGCTAGTTGCGACAAAAACGGAAAAATGAAATCGGGAGGAGAAGGGTCGTAGTGTGATGACTCATGCCTCTATTTTTCAGGGAAAAACTCAGTACTGTCGGATACGCCAATGTTGTTTGTGAGACTATTGATTTTTACGTACAATTATATTATATATATATTATATATATATATATTTATTATTATTATTATGATTATTATTATTAGTATGTGTGCTACTTATATCTCTGTATGCATCATAATCCTACACATGCTTCCCTGAGAAACTACCATCAGCCAGGTGATCTCCTCGAAATCCGCTTCGAACTGAGGCTCTGCAATTCCTGTATTAACAGCCGCTTTGTTGAAAATTGACTTCCAGAATCGCAATCTCTTCATTGCTATCCATTTCGTTAATTGGAACGGCATGACACACCAAAGCAATCAACAGGAAGAATGGACAATAGAGGTTATGTGATATATGTGTTATATATCCGCCGACCCCGGCCTTCGCCAAGGCCGGGGCGGCGCCTGGGACCACCGCAGGTGTGGAACTTTTCTCCGCAGCAGCTTCCACCAAGGCCTCTGGCCGTCAGCCTTTGCTGCTCCAGGGTTGCAGCCTGCCCTTTGCCTGCACATAGCCCTCTCTTGTTAGGGCATTCGAGCCTGCCGTTTGCCAGCCTTCAAACCCTTAAAACCCCTAAAACCCTCGCGGCAGCTTCCACCAAGGCCTCTGGCCGTCAGCCTTTGCTTCCACCAAGCTCCTGGCCGTCAGCGCTCCAGCATTGCAGCCTGCCCTTTACCTGCACATAGCCCTCTCTTGTTAGGGCATTCGAGCCTGCCGTTTGCCAGCCTTCAAACCCTTAAAACCCCTAAAACCCTCCGCGGCAGCTTCCACCAAGGCCTCTGGCCGTCAGCCTTTGCTTCCACCAAGCTCCTGGCTGCGCTCCAGCATTGCAGCCTGCCCTTTTACCTGCACATAGCCCTCTCTTGTTAGGGCATTCGAGCCTGCCGTTTGCCAGCCTTCAAACCCTTAAAACCCCTAAAACCTCCGCGGCAGCTTCCACCAAGCCCTCCTGGCCGTCAGCCTTTGCTGCTCCAGGGTTGCAGCCTGCCCTTTGCCTGCACATAGCCCTCTCTTGTTAGGGCATTCGAGCCTGCCGCTTGCCAGCCTTCAAACCCTTAAAACCCCTAAAACCCTCCGCGGCAGCTTCCACCAAGGCCTCTGGCCGTCAGCCTTTGCTTCCACCAAGCTCCTGGCCGTCAGCGCTCCAGCATTGCAGCCTGCCCTTTACCTGCACATAGCCCTCTCTTGTTAGGGCATTCGAGCCTGCCGTTTGCCAGCCTTCAAACCCTTAAAACCCCTAAAACGCTCCGCGGCAGCTTCCACCAAGCCCTCTGAACCCCTAAAATGCCTAAAACCCTCCTTTGCCTGCACATAGCCCTCTCTCGTTAGGACATTCGAGCCTGCCGTTTGCCAGCCTTCAAACCCTTAAAACCCCTAAAACCCTCCGCGGCAGCTTCCACCAAGGCCTCTGGCCGTCAGCCTTTGCTTCCACCAAGCTCCTGGCCGTCAGCGCTCCAGCATTGCAGCCTGCCCTTTACCTGCACATAGCCCTCTTTTGTTAGGGCATTCGAGCCTGCCGTTTGCCAGCCTTCAAACCCTTAAAACCCCTAAAACCCTCCGCGGCAGCTTCCACCAAGGCCTCTGGCCGTCAGCCTTTGCTTCCACCAAGCTCCTGGCTGTCAGCGCTCCAGCATTGCAGCTTGCCCTTTACCTGCACATAGCCCTCTCTTGTTAGGGCATTCGAGCCTGCCGTTTGCCAGCCTTCAAACCCTTAAAACCCCTAAAACGCTCCGCGGCAGCTTCCACCAAATAGAAATTCAACATATTAAATGAACTTCGCACGGCTCTTTCGGAAGTTGGTACAATACAAGAATATCAATACGGACATTTCATCAGCGAAAATTTAAGGTAAGAGAATGTGAACCTATAACGCATTGTATGATTCAGCAGAGGAAATCAATATCAATAAAAGATTTATTTAATATAACAGCAAATAAAATAATCAATCTGAACCCCTAAAATGCCTAAAACCCTCCTTTGCCTGCACATAGCCCTCTCTCGTTAGGACATTCGAGCCTGCCGTTTGCCAGCCTTCAAACCCTTAAAACCCCTAAAACCCTCCGCGGCAGCTTCCACCAAGGCCTCTGGCCGTCAGCCTTTGCTTCCACCAAGCTCCTGGCTGCCTAAAACCCTCCTTTGCCTGCACATAGCCCTCTCTTGTTAGGGCATTCGAGCCTGCCGTTTGCCAGCCTTCAAACCCTTAAAACCCCTAAAACCCTCCGCAGCAGCTTCCACCAAGGCCTCTGGCCGTCAGCCTTTGCTTCCACCAAGCTCCTGGCCGTCAGCGCTCCAGCATTGCAGCCTGCCCTTTATACCTGCACATAGCCCTCTCTTGTTGCGGCATTCGAGCCTGCCGCTTGCCAGCCTTCAAACCCTTAAAACCCCTAAAACGCTCCGCGGCAGCTTCCACCAAGCCCTCTGGCCGTCAGCCTTTGCTGCTCCAGGGTTGCAGCCTGCCCTTTGCCTGCACATCCCTCGCGGCAGCTTCCACCAAGCTCCTGGCCGTGGGCGTTCCAGCATTGCAGCCTGCCCTTTGCCTGCACATAGCCCTCTCTGGTTAGGGCATTCGAGCCTGCCGTTTGCCAGCCTTCAAACCCTTAAAACCCCTAAAACCCTCCGCGGCAGCGTCCACCAACTCTGGCCGTCAGCCTTTGCTGCTCCAGGGTTGCAGCCTGCCCTTTGCCTGCGCATCCCTCGCGGCAGCTTCCACCAAGCCCTCTGGCCGTCAGCCTGCCGCTCAAGCATTGCAGCCTGCCCTTTGCCTGCACATAGCTCTCTTTGGTTAGGGCATTCAAGCCTGCCGTTTGCCAGGCTTTAAACCCTTAAAACCCGTAAAACCATCCCTCGCGGCACCTTCCACCAAGCTCCTGGCCGTCAGCGTTCCGGCATTGCAGCCTGCCCTTTGCCTGCACATAGCCCTCTCTTGTTAGGGCAATGCTTCGCTGCAGAGGTCTTGCCATTGCCATCTGTTCCTACGGCAAGCGCAGTCTTTCTATTTCATGTCCTTTTTTTCTTTGCCTTTTTGTCGGGAACGTGCCAATGTTTCATCTGGCATCGTTTTCCCGACGGCGTGACATGCGTCACCGCAATGCGCCCACATGACTGCGACGACCACACAACAGTTGAGCACACCGGGCAGCTGTGCGCATGACACCGTGTGTTCTTGCTAACCGCACTGTCCTTCACATAAAATTGGTTCCCACAGACTGTTCGATGGTTGATTCTCCCTGTCCTGACGTCGCTTCTCACATTTCCCTTGCAAAATGGGCACCTGTAAACGATGCCTTTTTCTTTAACAACACCATCCTGAACAGAAAATTTGTTCCCACAGACTGTTCGATGGTCTATTTGCCCCGTCCTGACATCGCTTCTCACATTTCCCTTGCAAAATGGACACCTGTAAACGACGCCTTTCTCTTTAACAACACCATCCTGAACAGAAAATTGGTTCCCACAGACTGTTCGATGGTCTATTGGCCCTGTCGCCACGTTACTAGCTACATGCCCATTGCAAGCGGGACAAACGTAGTCATACTGTTTCGCACAGGGGCGTCCTTCCCTGACTTGGAAATAGTTACCGCATGTGCGGCGGTGATCGACGTGGCCTGTTCGTATAGGACTGTTTACAGGCTGCTTGCAATGCGGACACACGTATTGGAAAATCTTGCCTTTGGCCATGGCTTCTGCTGCCTTCGTTGGCCGCACCGCCCTCTGCCGTCCGTTGCTGTCGTCCTGTTGGCCATGTGCCTCTGCAGGCCCCTCTGTGGTCATTTCTGTTCCGTTCTCTTGTCTGCACTGCTTTGCCTTCGGCTCTGCTTCCTTCCTTTGGGGGCTCTCCTGTTCTCTCTTCCGTTTTCGTTCCGCGATGGCATCCCAGACATCGGCGATGGCGCGTGCCTTTTTTTCTTCCGCTGCCTTCCTCGCCACTTTCGCCTGCGTTGCCGCTACCCGCTGTACCGCTTTGCTGATGCTTCCCCGGGGAATGGGGCACTGCCAGCAGTTGCTACAGACTTGGTCACCATTACAAGAACGATGTTGCGCCAGCCAAGATTCAAACGCGCACGCTGCTTGCTTTACCTCGCAGACGCTGCATCTCCACCAGCCCCATGCTTTACTCGAACAATCTAGACACACTCTACCGCCCCTGCGTGCTCGTTTCCAGGCCCCGCCAGAAAATTTCTTTTCGCCCTTGTGCGTATTGCAAACACTACACACTTGTGTCTGTTCGCACGTCTTACAAATACGATAAAATGTGGCTTGTGGCCTTGCATGTTCTGTCTTGAATGCATCTTCCTGTTTCCACGCCGTGCAAGCCATGCATTGCCACAGCTGCTGCGCCTCAACGTGCCTACGAATGCATTCCTTGCATACTCTCGCCGCATCTGTTCGTTTCCATCAACCAGCCGTGAATGCAGACGCCGGCTTTGCTTCATTACATTCTTTGCATTGTCTTTCGTCTCGGTATTTCGCTCGCAGCGCGCTCCAATCCATTTTTTCACCACCCCAGAAACGCAACAGCAATTCCCGCCCTACTTTTGCCCCTTTTTGAAATGGTGCTGCAGGGAACGGTCGGTACACAAACAAACCATACCTGTCTTGGACCCGCGTTAATGCAATGTAAGCTGTCAATGGGTCGCCTGCTTCCCCAATGTGCATGTCCATGACAACGCCTTCTTTGCACGTTTGCCCTTGGGCTGCGTGGGCGGTGGTGGCGAACCCTGGAGCCAATGGAAACTGCTTCCGCGTGACACGGAGTACTGGCCGCTTCCGCCCCTTGTCCAGATACCACGGTTTCTTTTGCGGCGCTACGGGAAAAACGTTGTCTTCATCGATCCCTTCGACACGCCAGGTGGTCTTGGTCTTGAACCGGACCAAGATGCACGCCGGCAACTCGTTCCAAATCTGCGTCGCCTCTTGACTCGCCCCTCCGACGGCGTCCGCATGCCAGACCCAGCCAACGATTTCCCCAGCACAACCACGTAAAATTCCATGGCTACGATCCAAGTGATCTGCGGCAGCAACTGGCATACCAATGCACAGCGGGAAAACACCATACAAGGACCCACAGTCCTGATCGTGGCGCTGCAGCCATGACAATTTTTCTTTGCCCAGATCTGGCTTTTCGCGCAAAGCCGCGCTTGATATCCTGTCTTTTGCAATGGCATGGTGCAGCACCTGCCCTGTTTCTGCGGCCCAAGCTTTGGCTCGCAGTTTATT